CAATCTCATTTTTCGTAGATTATTGCATAAAATAGAATTATATGCATGTGTATAAAAACATAAGCAATATAGAAGAAAGGGGTCGCAATTACTTTACCGACAATCATTTTGGAGGCAAACCTATAAATAACGCTCGTCGAGGCAGACTCACATTACCCTCAACTGATTGGATTATACTTGAGATAAAACTTGCCCTCAGAAACGACATCTCGCGAACGGTCCTCGTCAATTTCACACTTTTTCAAAACTAACCAAAGGGCTGTCATCGTTCTTGTGATTTATGTAATTAATGTTGATTACTCATGATTATTGTTCACAAGAAGCGGCAGTCTGTCATGAATAGCTTATATGACCCTTGCATCTTTTAGTAATGAGAAACTCGAAATTTCAATTTAACTATTTAACTATTTGTGCAGTTTTTCAATTATTTGAATATTCAATTGCTTTCAAAACTCTTCTGTTCACCCTCACTGAAATGATATTTCCTCAGGACCATTGTGCTCACTTGCAAGTATACGAATACTAAAATAATTGAACGGAGAGTTAGACAGTTGAATTTAATTCTCAAATTGAAGAGATCTAGCATTGTGGCAATCCGTGATTGTACACTTTTCCCCCTTTCCTCATACACTGATGATGACATGGATATACGCAACTTCCTTCTTCTCTTTTCTTCTTCCTCTTCCTCTTCGTTTACAACAACTATCTACTTTCTTCCTTCCTGTATAAACTTATAAATTATATTAGTCTCCTAGTTTATATACCCAACTTAGAGATATTGATAGATTTATCTCTCCTCGTGATGTAACATTCATATGATATTGCTATCTTTTCTAGAAGAGGCTATGATCGCATGATCCTCTGGCTCACCACCTCGTTGAACAATAGCGATAGATCTTAGATATTATTTATAAAGTTTGATATTTTTCTGTAAACCCCTCCCCGTATTAGAAGCCCCAGGGGGCTGCTAAGCTGTTAGTTGTTAACCCCTTCACCGTTAACGCCGAGTATACTTGTCCCCAGGTTGAAGAATCCCATACTCGGATCCCATCGGATCCAATATTGGATTTTGTAAGGGCCATCGTAGAACATAGCTAAAAAGATCGCTCATAAAATTTGCAACAACCGACGGGATTTTTCTAGTCGGATTCCAATGCAATTCCGTTTCCAAGAATCCGATCGGATTTTGTCGAATGGTCGGATCCGGTCAGATCCGATCGGATCCAGCATCGGATTTGTTGACCTGGGTCAGAGTAATTTTATGGAAAAGGTGACTACTGTAATTTCTTAATTCTGTTTTCATTGTGTGCTATGGACCTGCTCTAGCATCCTGCACTTACTGTAGCTAGCTCTACGGATCCTGATGTTTCATATGGACTATATTCTTCGCTCTTAATTATCTATGAATTAAGAAAACTTAAATTGCAAAAATTTTACTAAATAGTTGAAAAAAACTTAACGGTGAAGGGGTTAAAATTTTTTTAGGGAGCTTTTAACGTAAATTTTCCGTAAATTTTCCTCAAAGCTATAAGAAAGCTTTCATTTCAATTATATTGCCTCTTTTATTAGAATAAGTTCAACTAGTTATCCAAAATCCTATTACCAAAATATAGGTANNNNTACCGTCTCCCGTCTTTCTCTCTAACAATTGGCGACCCTGGACAAACAACAAAGAAAACAAAAGACACGCCGTCGATATACGTACTTTGTTTTCACGTCGAACGATCAGTAAAATTATCGTCTGATATTACATTAACTATAATATTTTGCCACACTGGAATGCAGTAATGACGTAGAACGGTCCATTATGTTGCCTTATATAAACAAGTTAATTGTGTGTGTTGACCGGAAAGAGACGTAAGCAAATGATAACAATTTACAATCCAACAGTTAGAGATTACGCAAAATAAATACCGTCGTTCAAAATGAATGAACTCACAGTTTATACAAAGTATAACTATGACTTCGCACAATAACAATATTTTCACTTTGACATCAACTGCAATACAACCGTTTTAATCATCATTTTTTTGTAATTAAATATTAATACAATGTAATAAATTACTTTTTAAATGTTCGATTATGAAGCTTCAGATTTGTGTTAGTATGAAGTTTTCATTTATCAAAACTTATCTTCATCTGAGAAAACAAAATAAAATTCGATATTATTCCTCAGCACCATCTACAAATGAAGCAGTGAGCCATTCTACATGACATGCTTTTTGTGTTTATATTGATTGTGTAGAAAATTGTTTAAATCTATTAAAAGATAATTTGTATCTAAATACCAGAAGAGATCTAGACATGGATTCGAAATAGAAAAACTAGCTTTTATTTCTATAAATAGATGGCGCCACGCTCATAGATGGGAAGACTACACTATTTTATTGGAGACATTTGAATCCATCATGTTGTTGTAAGGTATTCGTCGCGATTATTAAGTATTGAACTATTGAAGATCTGATGATTTCTTCGTGAGACATTGCTTGTTAATTTTAAAGTTTATAGAGAACCAAGAAAACAGCAGATTTGCTAAGATAGTCGGAAGTAGAACAACACATAATACAATGAAGACGTATTCCATTGCTTTCCGTTAAAATTGGACAGGGATGCATAATTTCCACATTAGTACATATGCTTTGTAGATCATTTACGAAAATTCATATAAATCTTTTCATTTGATGTAGATTTCTAAAAGAAAAAAGTCTTTATAAAATGACCAACGTATCAGCTAATGTAAGTTACACAATATTGGGTTTTTAGTTATTTTGATTGATTTCAAAATATATATCTGTTTTAAATATTCATAAAGGATTCATCGTACGACGAGAGCATCGAAGGAAACGAAGATTTAAGTTCACCAAATGAAGTCGTAGGACAAGTAAGAGATTCCGTGTATTACGATTCGATTTTTCTTTCTAAAAACTAGAAACAATTTTTATTTATAGCAAGAATCAGGTCATAATGCTTCTACCGTTCAAGTTGGACAACCAGGCATGTATTATATATTCTATTTGATATTCTTCTTTATATGCATCAAATAATTCAAAATGAAAATCGAAAATCAATAATTATAATTGTATTATATCTGCTTGATGATCCATTTTGAAAGTAGCAGCACGCTTTCGGTCAAGATCTTTTTCTCTTTACATAATTTAAGTGAAATGTTCGCAAAAAGAGAAGTATATGATGATAACAGTTGTTGATCGCTAATATTCATGAAGTTCGCCATCAGTAATTGACACAAAACGTATTGATCAAATGTTCACCAGTTTCTAACTAAAATTAAAGATAATTATGACCATGAAATTCTTCGTACTTACCCAAATGTTTTAATATTGTCTACGATTGATCAAGCTGCACAGATACAGGAAAGATTTCAGGCTGTTTTCATGTTTCGCACAAATAGGTTTTGATTGTAATTAATTGATCTGAGGAAACGATGTTAACCATACAACATTGTTGCTAAACACTGATGCTTCACCTAAGAAAGAAGAAAAATGGATTAAATTAATTGATCCACACAGATAGTTCTCTTTTAACTGCTCTTTACTTTGCGTATCTATGTTGAATGTTGTTTCAGCCGAGAAAAAAGTTTTATAGTGTAAAAACTAGTTTAGAATTCTTTACTACGCTAAATAACTGTTCTACTATATTTTTAGGTATACCATCTCAACATATACAAGCAAATAATACAGGAACAACTCAAAATGCTAACAGCAATATTACAAACCCTTTTGTTTTTGGTAGAATCACGATACTATAATGTTCATTGATCATTGTCATTGATTTTTGTGTTTAGCTAATTATTTTGCAATTTATCTAGTGCATAATATGTTATCGCCACCGCTTGGTTTCCCATTAAACCATCATATTCATCGTGGGCTTCCATTGAAACGACTTAATCAAACTGAACGTCGTAGAAATGGACAATTTCGTGGTGGTCGTCAGTATTCTAAATTAGGTAAAAAGATATTAATTTTAGACTGATTATGGTAGTGAAGAAAAGATAGGGTGAGGGTAAGGGTGATTGTGCGCTGAAAAAAAATAAGGTACTCTACCAAACCCATCAAAAAGGTTCGTAAGTGTCGAAAGCTTGCAAATGTGTTGACGTGTTCAAAAAAATGCTTTTGAAAATCTGCCAAACCAAAAAAAGATCGGTCGGCGGGCACACGCTCCGAACCTTCATCACGGAACCTTTTTTAAGTTTCGCACGTA